TTTTGTTAGGTAATAAATAATAAAAATAATTAATATGGAGAAATGTGACATTGGAAAAAGTCTTAACATTCATTGCCACAAAACTGGATTTTCAAGAAATAAAGGTTTTGTTCAATTTAAAGATCTTCCTTGTGAAAAACAAGAAGAAATAAAATGGCGAGCAAATTTAAAGGAAAAATATAGTTCAATAAGAATTATATGTTGTTATCATGAGCAATTCTATGGAAAATATTTTGAGAGAAAAATTACAAAGTGTTGCAATCCTTTTGGAACACACAAGGAAAGTAAAAAAATTGCTATAAAAGATAATCTTACCTTATTTACAACAGAATTGATATGGAAATTAAAAGAAAAGAATTTATTATTTATAAAAAGTTTTATAATTTCAGTTATTTTAACAACGTAAAACTAAATTTGTTTTTTAGGTAATATAAAGATTTCCATAGACATGGCAAACTATTTGCAAAAAAATAATGTTTATGTAACCCCAGGTTGGAAATTCTGCAGTAAATGTTACAAAAAAGCAATAGAAACTGATGAAGATTTAAATTCACAGGAGGAATGGGAATCAAAAAGTGAGAAAAAAATTAAGTTAGATACCACTATAGAATTGCTTGGAATCTCACCGGTCAAACTAAAAAGTCTTTCAAAACTCAGCAAATTGCCTGTAGCAAAACAAAAGTTTGAGAACACTATTGACAGAGTTGCAAAAATGGTCTCATTAGCATATAATATTAAAGAAACTTTTTTAACAACAGAAATAAAAAGCCCCATTTTAAACAACAACATTAACAATGACCATGATCTAGACATTTTAATGTATGAAATAAAAAATAAAATTTCAGAGACTGACTCTTATCGCCATAAGGTGCTAATGTTAACACTCGCACCAAAATCATGGAAACGTAAAAAGATATCAAGCTACTTTGAAGTGTCTGAGTATCTTGTTCGAACAGCAAGAAAAGTTAAAAATGAGAATGGAATTCTATCATTACCCGGGAAAAAAACTGGAAACCCACTTTCATCAGAAACAGTTAATTTAGTGATTAACTTTTATCAAAGTGATGAATTTTCAAGAATAATGCCAGGAAAAAAAGATTATGTAAGTATTAAGAAAAACCAACATGTTCAAAAAAGATTATTGCTACTCAATCTTAATGAATTACATGTTGCATTTAAAAAAGACTACCCTAACGTCAAAGTCAGTTTGTCAAAGTTTTGTACTCTTAAACCTAAATGGTGTATTACAACTAATGCGTCATGTACCCACAATTAAAGTGTTTGCATACATCACCAAAATACAAAATTTCTCATTGATGCCATGAGGTGGAATAAAAGTTATAAAGATTTCATGGCATTGATTGTTTGCTCTCTTGAAAATGCAGAATGTATGTTGCATCGATGTAACCAATGTCCTGGTATTGAAGCGTTAAAAAGTTTTTTAGTGCAGGAGTTTATGGACCATGAGCATGAAGAAGATGTAGTATTTAAGCAATGGCAGAGTACAGATCGTACAACACTACTTTCACAGTCATCGCCACTAGATGAATTTATTGATTTATTATGTGACAGTATTGACAACCTTACCACTCATTTATATATTGCAAAAACACAAAGTAGATACTTAAAAAACTGTAAAGAAAATCTTAACCAAAACGAATGCTTAATTTTAGGAGATTCTGCTGAAAACTATCAATATGTTGTTCAGGATGAGGTTCAAAGTTATCACTGGAGCAAAAGTCAATGCTCACTTTATACAGTTGTACTTTATTTTATAGAGAACAAACTTCTCAAACATAAATCTTTTTGTTACCTTTCAGAAGATGTTGATCATGACACAGGATTTATTTACAAGACTCAGGAAGATATAACTAGATATATCAAAGAAAATCTACCTGATGTATCAAGTGTGAAATACTTTTTTGATGGTTGTGCAGCACAATTTAAAAATTTTAAAAATTTTATCAATCTTTGTAATCACAGTAAAGACTTTGATTTAAATGCTGAATGGGTATTTTTTGCTACCAGTCATGGTAAATCCCCCTGTGATGGTATTGGTGGGACTGTTAAAAGAGTAGTATGTCAAAAAAAGTATAAAACAAATAACTACTGGGCAGATTTTAGATGTTAATTTAATGTACTCCTTTTGTAAAGCCAAGATAAATGGAATTTATTTTAACTTATTTTCAAAAGAAGAAATTGATCAAACACGAGCACAATTAGAAAAAAGATATTTAGGTGGAAGAACATTTCCTGGCACAAGGATGTATCATCATTTTATTCCAATTGCTCCAAACACTATAAGTTATAAAAAAATAAGTATTGATGCATACACTGAAATATTTGATATCATTCCAAAAAGCAAACATTATGTAGATATTTCATTAAATATTAAAAAAATGGATTATATTGCATGTTTTTATGATGGATTTTGGTGGGTAGGGATTGCTGAAGATGTAAGTGAGCTTGATATAAAAGTCAGATTCATGCATCCACATGGACCAGGTAAAAACTTCTTTTGGCCAATAAGAACTGATGAGTGTTGGGTGCTCAATTCTGAAGTTATATGCCTAATTTCTACACCCACAACAATATCAGGTCGTACATACAACATAACTGATTTAGATTTGGAGAATATAAACTGTTGGTTACAAAAAAAAATTAATTATGCTTAAAATAATTTTGTTTTTATTTTATTTACCTAATTTGCATTTTAAATGTCTTTTATTTTTTTCAAATCCTTGGATTGTAGGCTGAGAAGGAGGGGTGGGGGTTTAAATAAATCACAAATCACTCCCATCTTATTATGTCAATGACTATATTAGTCTAAAACTACATAAAGATATTTATTGTCAATATGTTTTAAAAACATTTTAAAACATTTGTTTTTGAAATTTATGACTTAAAATCGTAAAAAGATCTTTGAAATAAGAGGTAAGTATTTATCGATTTGAAGTAACGCAAATAAATCGTTTCTCAAACTTAAACTGAAAAAATATGTTTTTAAAATGTATTTTAACAATCAACTATTATTTATTCATTTTATGTAGAAAAAAAAAAAATCTAGGGAGATTTGGGGAGGGGGCGGAGGGGCCTCCCGTAGGTAGGGAAGGCATCTCCCTTGGCCCATGACTTTAAATGTTTATTTAAATTTAAACTAGTCAATAAATAACACTATTTGGTGTTTTATTCAAATAAATGTTTAAAAAAATATTTTAATTGCTTTTGTTACAAAAATTAAATTTTTCTAAAAAGACACCATTTTTAAATGCAAATTTTGATCATGTATTAGAGAGACAATTAATGAATCTAATTTTTTTCAGTAGACCTAAGATGAAATAATGATATACAATTAAAATTTTTACTCAGGATTTTGGGCCACAGTCTTTATTTTACCTCCAAAAATCACTAACTTACAAGTCAATAATTTTGAACAAAATTGAATAAATGAGGCATTTCTTGAGATAATCAAATCTTAAGAGTGCTATTTTTGGATTCCTCAAGTTAAAATCTATTAGAGTACCAAATTTTAGGAAATTTCCCCAAGCCATTATGAAGATACTGTATGTCAAAGTTGCTTTGTAGTCGCTTCAGAAAATCACTAAAATGCTGAGTCAGCATTATTTCAACTGACGATATATATGGAACCCATTGGTATTTTCAACTAAAATTTTTGCAGTTATTATTTTTTTGATATGGACTGCAAGTGGTGTAAAAATAAACAAATTCTGAGACGTAAGGGTGTCGAAAATTATTTTTTTTGGATGATTTCATATATTTTTACTCTAATGCAAACTCGTTCCATTTAAATTTTCCTGGTTTTGTCAACATTTGTAACAGCCTTTTGCAGCATGTCTATGCAAGCATTTCTTGCATAAAGAGGTACATTCACATGCAAAGTGATTTAATGACTCACAATTGTAGCATCACTTTTATTTATTTCTCCATATATAACTTGTCATTTCAGTGCCAGTTGTCTGGTAACTTGTATTTAGTTCTTTATTTACAGATAAACATGTCGCATCTAATCTAATTTGAACAACCACAGATGCAGTCTTGACACAATTGTCAAAGCTCAACGCATCTTCTCCCATTAGAATGGCACCCAGAACAGCACCATCATTAATAAACCACATATGTTTAACCAAATTAATTTTCTTATTTTCAGCATCTTATTTTCAGCATCTTAATTTCAGCATAATTTTCTTATTTTCAGCATTTCCAATTTCATCACTAATTCTTCGTATGAAATGAAAGACACCTTTTATATGTAACATGGCACTGTTAGTTTCCCAATATTTTACAGCTTTTCTGAAAGTTACCAGAAAGTTAGAGAAACCTTACTATCAACTGGCTTTAGAACCATTTACATGAGTTTTAAAGCTGTACTTTTATAAAGAAATAGAAAGAGTTGCAACAGAAAAAGGTTGCTAAACCACTACCAAGAAAGCACAAGCAACAACCTATGAGTAAAAGCTAATAAGACTTTGTCTTTATAAGCTTAGGCATTTGCACCATATAAATGATCTGGTCAGCTAATATGGTCTGCTGGTTGTACCTACCCTTAAAAAAGAAGTTGTTTGAAATAAAAATTAGGTACATTAGATTAAATTTTCACAATTATTACATATATCATAGTATGAAATATTAAACTTTTGAAAATTCTAAGATAAAAACTGTAAAAATAGTTATTTGTTATAATTATTGCAAAGAACTGAGATTTTAGACTAGGAAATTTAAATTTTAAGTATTTAGTTAATTTTTAAATTCCTATTATTATTAAATTATTTATTCCTTTTAATTTTTTGTATTAAATATGATTATAAAGAAATTTTTTTGAATATAAAATTTTATTATATATTATTGCTAAATTGTTTTCGAAATACGTGAGAAAACAACTACTTCGTCGGGTACTTCAAAAATAATCTAGTATTAATATTATAGCACCAAATAAAGCAAGTATTAGCTCATAAAAAAGCTCATAAAAATTATTTAGCTACCTCGTTGCATCTGAACAACTTTTATTGGTAAAGTTACCATTAGATATACAAGCTTGGCATGTAAATCGTTTGCTGGATCTCCCACAAAGGTTACATATCTCAACTGCGACAAGTAAGAGATTTGACATAACCAGATCAACTAGATAAACATCAAGTTTTCATCTTTAATAATGATAAAATAATTTTAAACGCATCATTATGGTGTATACGTTTTAATTTACGAATACGATTTAATTTATCGAAAGAGAATATTTTAGTAACTAGATTTGTTTTGTTTCTCTAACTTTTTATGTTTAACGTCACATGTTCGAAGAATCAAAACACAAAATATCGTCTTACTACGTAATTGTTAAAAAACTGGAAAACGGGCGTTAAAAGGTACGTCGAACTTAACAGCGTCGATAACTCAATAGCGTCGATAACTCAATAACTCAGTTATTTGGGACGGTTTCTGCAGTTTAATGTTTTGTCTCTTAAGGGGTCGTCCATAAAGTACGTACACTCATAGGGGGGAGGGAAGAAGTCTTCAAAAAGTGTACAAAAGCGTATGCGGGGATGGGGGGAAGGTTCAATTCAAAAGTACGTACATCGATTTATTTCTCGCAATTAACCAGCTAATCAATAGAAAAGTTAAAGTTCTGACTAAAGATCTTAGTTTCCCAACATAAAAAGATGTTTGATATAGGGAGTAGAGGGTAAAGTTTCCCTCAATGCACACACATGCATGGGGGTCCGCAGGATTTTTTGATGTTCCAGATATACCTATGCCAAATGAGGAGGCCTTTCAAAAAATTGTAAAGACGGAGGCCTGGAAGCAAAAAAGCCCTGAAACGCCCCTCCCCCCTCTAAAAAAAAAGAAAAAGAGGTGTAAATTTTGTATGGTCATAACTTTTGTAATTTACAATATTTTTCTACGAAATTTAAAATCTGTCGATAAATTTAAATTTAATTTTAGATGGTAAAGTTGAAATTTTATTACATTAGTGCACTCACGCTTAGGGGGGGGGGGGGTGTGTGGCAAGCGTTTTTAAAGAGCTTTTTGCTCCCAGGCCATCTTTTGCAAGGCCTCCTTATTTGGCATAGTTATGGTTGAGTTTTAGAGCTTGCATAATGTTCACACCTTTGGAATAAGCATACTTATGTTTGGAACTTGTGCAAGCTCCAAACTCAAGCATACCTATGCCAAATGTTTAGGTTTAGGTTTATTCATTCATGATCAAAAATAAATTTACAAATTTTTTTTTGATCATGACCAGGCCTCTCTGTTATAAAAATACAGTTTTTCAATTTCAACTTAATTGAAGATGCTGCCGCAGAGAAAGTTCGTGACTAAAATTGTTTTACTTTATCGTAAGAAAATGGAATTCTTTACCCCAAAATGCGTCCACCGCATTTTGGGGTAAAGAATTCCATAATCTTACGATATAGTTGGTGAAGAAGTTGCTTCTTTCGGCGCAGTTTCGGACAAGTTATGCTCTTAGTTCTTTAGTGTGTCTACGTGGCCGAAAATTGTACTTTGACGATTCCGTGTTAGGTTTAGGGACGTGAAAGTTAACTTTATCAATTTTGATCATAATTTTATATTGTTCGATAAGGTCTTCTTTTTCTCGTCGTTCAGTTAGTGTTATCAGGTTAAGGCTTGATAGTTTTTGAGCAAACGAAAGGTATCTAAGGGAGGCAATATGTTTTGTGGCTCGGTGTTGAACTTGCTCAAGTTTGTCAACGTCTTGAGCTAAAAACGGTGGCCTGTACTGCGAATTCTAGGTGTGGGCGAACGTACGAAATATACAGTGTGCGCCATAATGCCCTCGAAAAACCTTCTTGAGCCTGCCAAGCATTCGGTTGCCAGCTGATGCAGCCGCACAGACTTGTTTTTTAACTTTTAGATCGCTCGTTATAAAAACGCATAGGTCTCGTTCAGATGACGTGCATGATAGCTGGTGCAGTTGGCCGTCCAGGTTAATCATTGTATAAATTGCAGTAGATTTTTTTTTGTTGCTGCGCCCGGTGTGCATGACTTTGCACTTGTCGATATTAAATGACATGAGCCATGTGTGCGACCACTTCACTGCTTCGTTAATATCGGCTTGGAGTTTTATGATGTCAGTTTCATTCTATAGTTCAGATTATTTTACAGTCATCAGCATACATTTTAAAGTGGTGTTGTATATTGTCTGGAAAATCGTTAATCTAGATAAGGAACAGGAGTGGTCCAAGAACAGATCCTTGTGGCACACCGCTAGAGACAATTTTTCAATTAGATTTATTGTTACCAATGGTTACACGTTGTAGCCGGTCGGTTAGCTTTTGATCGTGCAATCGTGCAAGTTGTCGAACACTCCATATGATTTTAGTTTGTGTAGCAGACGACAGTGCGGAACTTTATCGAATGCTTTAGCAGAGTTTGTGAATATGATATCGGTTGGGTAACCTTCGCGGGCAGCTTCAGTCAGGATGCCGCAAGTTTCGAGTAGGTTTGTGACGCAACCTTTTCTTTTTCGGAACCCGTGTTGAGCAGAGCTGATGAGTTTATTTTTGTTTAAGTGATCAGTAATGTGCTTGTGTAAAGAGCTTTCCATTACCTTGCAAGAGACAGAAGTGCGTGAGATAGGTTGATAGTTTGAGGGGTTCAACTTGCAGCCTTTTTTGAAAATAGGAGTAATTTCGGCTTTTTTCCATTGAGACGGTACTTCTCCAGCTTTAAGCGATTCAGAAAAGATAATGCTCAGTGGGATAGCAAAACCTGCAACACAGTATTTCAGGACGCGTGGGTGAATACCGTCGAAGCCCATTGATTTGGATTTATTCAGGTCCAAAAGTTTTTCTTTGACGGATTCGTATGATGCGAGTGTGGTCGGTTGGTTTATATAGAGTTAACGAGTGTTGAATGTTGGTAAAGACCCTAGCGGTTCGATTTTGAAAACTGATTGGAAATATTTGTTAAGAGTATTGCAGATTACTTTAGGATCTATTGTAGTTTGATTATTAGTTGTTTCAAGTTGACGGATGCGATCGTGTGTTTCTTTTTTGCTTTTGATGTACGAGTGGATTATTTTTGGGTCATATCTGCTATTATTTACCAATTTCATTTTGTAATCCAGAACGGCTGTTTTAACTATTTTTTTTACTGCTTTGCTTGCTTTTTTATGCTGTTTGCGTAGAATTGGCTTGTTTGTTCGGCTGGCTGCGATAAATTTGCCCCAGAGTTCGCTTTTCAATTTGAAAGCATTTGCAATATCTTTGGTCACCCATATTTTGTGTTTGTTAGTATAAGGTGTGGTTGTTAATGGGACGTGTTATGAGGTTGCTTCGTTGAATTTGTAGATAAATATTTGATATTTTTTGGAAATGTTTAAGCCGTCGAAAGCCGAATGCCAGTCGAATGTTTCGTTATGCGTAGAGATTAAGTTGTAGTCGGCTTTTCTCCAGATCAGACGCTTCTTGTAGAGGTTAGAGAAATCATTTATTTCGGGTCCTTTAGTTTTTAAATTTATGAGAGCTATACTTCCCCCAATAAGACAGTGTGCCTGACCTTTTGCTGTGTGGCCGATAGGACTAGCTTTTTTTATGTTCATTATTCGGTCTGGTTTGTTAATCAGGATCAAGTCAAGAGTATTTTTTGAAGGTTCCTCGCGAGTACTGCGATATGTTGGAAAAGTTATTGAAATTTGCTATCTGTTAGCCAATCCTACGTTGACATTTGAATACACAGTGTTAATGAAGTTGAAGCCGCCGTACGCAAGTAAGGTTGAGCAGCCAATTGAGTTGTATTTGTCAGAGGCAGTACTTATTGAGTTTATTATCTCATCAAGCGTTAAGTTGTTCAAGTCTTGATGACGGTAGAGACAGCCTATTAAAATTGATTCGTTGTGAAATTTTAATTTGATCCAGACTTGCTCAATAGTGGTGCGGTTGAGTTGGTCAATTTTGGTGAAAGAATTCTTTCACCAAAATTGAAAAGCCTCAATTGTTAACAATTGAGGCTTTTCTTTGTGTAGATGGCTACTCCTCCTCCTCTTCTGATTCTATCTTTTTAAACAGTTGGTAGTTATTGGCTATTTTTGTGTTGGAGTTGTCGGTGAACCAAGTTTTGGCAATAAAAATTATGCGTGGTTGAAGTAAAGTGTCTATTGAGGTAATTTTGGCTCTTAGTTCGTCAATTTTATGGCCATTAAGTGAGCAAGGGTTATTGGGCCAATAGATGAGTTGTTCTAGTTTCTTTGCTTTTGGTTGTTGTAATTTTGCTCTTTTGTTTATCGGAAGAGCAAAATTACATTGTTTGATGTTGAGTTCGTCAGCCATTTATTATTTGTTGAATTGGGTACAGGAGTGTATTGGGTATTGAAAGATGGTTTGCAGTTGAGTGCAAGGTTGTTTATTGGTGTGGTTAGTTGGAGACATTGGTTGATTAGTAGCTATCTGGTTTTGGTAATTTCTTTGATCTTATTGCCTCGTATTACGAACAATGTTGTTGATTTTGTCGGTAGAGATGCATTTTATTTTTTGCATTCAGTGCGTAGTTGCTATGCTAAGTTCTTTTCGACTGCCGTTAGGTCAGGGTTGACGAAGAGTGTGGCATAATTAGCTTGATTTGCTGGAACTCAAAAAAACGAGCTGGATAGTTTTAGTATATGATTGCGGTCGCTTTCATTAGAAAGTGTGATGACTAGCGCTCCCGTTTTGATTGGGTTGCCTGCAGAGTAGCAAGGCGTAAGGCGGAAGAAAGTAAGGTACTTGTCTTTATCAGCACCGATGAGGTTGAGTACTTTTTTAATTTCAGTTTCATGTGTTGCTTTTAGTCGTTCTAGTCAGATGAAGTTGATTTGCTTATTCCATGGATGACGATATTCTTAGATCGGGTTTCGCGTTCTTTTGATTTTTTGGCAATTGTACCTATCGTGTTGACTTGTTGTTTTTCTTTTTTAGGAGATTTAGTTAGATTTCTTTCTAACAACCTGGTTTCACATGGTGGCCATTGGTGTTGTACCTGCTTGTATGTTGGAGCCGTGTTGTGTAATGATGGTTTTCAAGTTTGCGATTGTTAAGTCCTGGGTGTTTATGATTGAGATCATATTTGCTAGTTCAGACTCTTGCGGTGAGTGAGACTATTTGTTTTGTGAGCTCATAACGGAGGGCTGCTACCTGAGAGTTTACTGTTGTATTGGCCATAGCAGTGAGTTTACGATTTGTTTTATTTCTCTTAATACGCAAGAACTTTTTACGGGGACAATTTGTATTTTTCAAGATATTTTGTTTTTTAACATATTTTGATGCTAATATTTTGAGAATAGTTTTGAATTTTT